CTTGGGTGAAGGGGAGATGCCTCCTCAGCAAGTTCACTGGGGACACAAAGCTGGGAGGAGTGACTGACACCCCAGAGGGCTGTGCAGCCCCGCAGAAGGACCTCAGCAGGCTGGAGAGATGGGCAGAGAAGAACTGTCTGAAATCAACAGCAGCAAGTGCAGGGTCCTGCCCCTGGCAGGAATAACCCCAGGCACCAGCACAGGCTGGGGCTGAGCTGCTGGGAAGCAGCTCTGTGGAGAAGGACCTGGGGGTGCTGGTGGACACCAAACTGTCCCTGAGCCAGCAGTGCCCTGGTGGCCAAGAAGGCCAATGGGATCCTGGGCTGCCTTAGGAAGAGCATTGGCAGCAGGTCAAGGGAGGGGATCCTGCCCCTCTGCTCAGCCCTGGTGAGGCCTGACCTGGAGTGCTGTGTCCAGTTCTGGGCTCCTCAGGACAAGAGAGACAGGGACCAGCTCCTGGAGACAGTCCAATGGAGGGCTATGGAGATGATTAGGGCACTGGAGCATCTCATATATGGAAAGTGTCAGTCCTCCTTCTTCACTTTTCTTGAAAATTGCGACAACACTCAAAAATCCTTGATAGAGGCTTTGTGATGACATCAGCCAGCTCCTCAAGGATTCTCAGATCAGGCATCATAGATTTGTAGGGATCCAGCTGGAGCAGTAGATCCCACACAAGTTCAGGGTCAGCTTTCTAAAACACTCTCTCAAAAAATTGTAGGAACTAATGTGTCAATAATCCCTGGAATTTGATGGATTTTTAACATATAAAGGAGAAACCAGCTGCACCTGTCTGAAAGCCTAAAGGAATGACTTAAGATTTGAAATAGACAAAATAGCCTTAGTCTGTGGTCTTTCCTATAAAGAATGAAAAGTAGTTTGCAACATTCCATATAACTCTCCAGTCCTGTGAATTAGAATGCTATTCCACTCAAAGTCTTCATAGACATAAATGATATAATAATAATAATAATAATAATAATAATAATAATAAAAAGCACAAAAGAAATTCCAGTACAACAAAGACATCAGCACAGCTGTAAAAGGTCACTTACATAGCAGGCCCTTGGATTTCTTTCTGGCTGAGTCAATAAACAGGCATATTTAATCATAGGTTAGAAGTTGTGAGTGACAAACAGGACAAGTTGTAAAAGGAAAAAAAATCCCACATTAGAGGAGGTGGTATAAAAGTACATTCTGAGAATTTTCTGATTCCTCTGTGAAAGGGTCACTAAACTTTCTATCAGGGAAGGTTGAGTCATGCTGTTCTAAGTGAACTAAAGTTTGTTTTGGAGAAATTTGTCCACGGTATTGTTTGTCTTTTAATTTCTCATATCATGGTTTTCCATTTGGGCTGATGATAGAGCTGACAATCTGGAGACAGTTAGAGAATAAACTTATAGCACTTGCAATTTGAGCAAAGAAAATAAAAATAATCACTTTCTTTATGCCAGGTTTCTGATCTTGCTATGGCAACAGGAAAGTTCAAAGGCTGGTTAGTTAAGATCCGAGTGACACAGAGTACTACTGGAAGGTAAGCCGTATTAGGTTCACGCCTAAAACCAAAAATTCTATGAAACAGAACTTTTTTTTTTTTTTAAGAATTCTTCAGATTTAGAATTCGTTTATATTTCGTTGTTCATGAAACTAAAATAACCATATGCAAGATACTCAGGTACTATGAACAAAGACAGTGGTATGATAGCAATTGAGAAAAAGGTCTAATGCAGCCTCTTAGCAGATGTTAAGAAATTGAACTTCAGTTTCCAGCTTCAGAAGCTCACACATATTCCAGTAATTACCATTAAAAACATTTACTGCTCACTAACCAATGTTGTCTATGACATGCCCTAGAATAACCATTTAGATCAGTATTGATAAAAAATCTTTGCACAATAAAAATTGGTCTTATCCTAAAATGTTAACTTGAGTTTGGCCTTAGAAAAGCTCCACTACTATATGAGTAGAGCACAGGACATGGATGAAACCCATGGCAGAGAAAGACAGCTGAAAAAAGGAACAAAGAGGAAATACGGATTCCCTCCCAGCATTTAGGCATACCCTCATAGTTACTGTAGTATATCAGTAGAGTGTATTGAGGGATGTTGGTCAGCTAGGGCCAAATATAATCCCTTGACCTCATACTGGTAGGGGGCAATATTTCAGTTATTGCCTTGTGCTCTTCTTGCTAGAGGCAAAATAGATTTATGAGGTTTCTCTGGTCTTTCTTTTCACTTGGACCACACTGACTTTAAAACAAATAAAAATAAACAAATAAACCAGAAAGTTTTTTTTTGCACTAAGAAAAGCAGAATCTATTTTAAATTTTATAATTAAACTATGCTGAAAATTTTCTAAGCATTATTGCCACTTTTTTTACAGGGCATTTTTTTACTTGTAGAAGAGTCCCTGATGTTTTGGTTCCAAATGCTACAGCCTTAGAAGATGACAAAATCACAAACAGATGTTGGAAATGCCCAGGACATCCAACCCTAGCATAGCTTTTTCAAAAATAATTTCCAATCTAATTTGGTTTGTTGGTCTTGTTTCTTTTTTATGCCTTATCATTAAACCCACATCAAACTTCTTGGCTTGACACAGAACAGGAAGTTTGTAAGTTTAAGTGTTCAAGGCCAGGTTGGATGGAGCTTCAAGCAAGAGCCCTGTCCATGCCCGTGACAGAAAGATGGGATTAGATGATTTTCAAATCTCCTTTCCAACCAATCCGTTCTATGACGTCTAGAGGAGGACAAAAAGAAGTACATACCTTTCTGCCTTTCACTTTTGGAATCAAAACTTTGGGACCTGATCCATGGAATTGCCATAGTAGAATTCAATATGGAAGGAAAAGAAACCTTATTCAGGTAAGGTTTATTATTCTGTTTCTTTGCATCATATATATAGTTGAAGCAAGCATTTCAAAGATTTAGAAAGGAAAGACTCTCCAAAGTGGATAACGTGGAAAAAGCAAGCAGGCAACTAAACAAATGGAATTAGTCTTGTTTCTCACCAAGTCAGACTTTAAAGCTTATGCTACCTAGCAACCTACATCTGAAATATAAGATATCAATGTCATCTACCACAGTAGGCTGGAGAAGCAAATCCTCTGATGTCAAAGATACAGCATGTTTTATAACTGAAGTAAATAAAATTAATTTTAAGGCCAAAAAATATTTAGCAGTTGTGCAAAAGTCATAGTACTAATTATTGTTTCAGCAGAGTGGTTGGGGGGTCCAAGCAATGCTTTGGCAAAGCCTTTGCATGGAGGGCTGACTGCCAAGAGCAGCTGTGCAGTGACAAGTCTGGAATGTCCTCTGAGTAAGGCTGGCTGCAGATCTCTAAGGACTTTGAGAGGGGGAGGTTCTTGAATATCTTGAGAAATATGAAAGCCCCATTCAATAATTTTAAAAAAAATCATTAGTCATATAAGAAGGAAACATGAAAATAACTTTGTAACAGATTTCTATAGTGAAATATAGCTTCATATTCCTACACACTCTAATACAGTATTTCAACTTCCTTGTTGGCTGGAATTAGAGTTTTCCATATATTTCAGAAGCGTTACTGTGCTATGTGAACACCTAATTCTGCTCTCTAGGCTCAATACAAGAGGTCACTGACTGAGTAATGAGGTTAATTACTGTAACATCTGTCAGTCTAGTTCTCAGATATATAAAAACAACTTTTGTACTAATGTCTTGCTTTGCTGTTTTGAAATCTAGTAATAGAATATTCCTAAAGTTGTCTTCATATAAAATCTTTAGAAGAAAAATCACACAAAATTAAGGATAATATATTTACCTGTGTCTTCCATAAACTCTTATCTTTAACTGTATCATTTAAGTAACAAAACATAATTCCTGTTAGTGAACTGGAACTACTTCAAGAAGCAGTAGTGCTTCAAATGCAAACCAGATATATTCAGGAACAAAGGCCCCATTTAAAAACTGAAGCTCAGCTGTCTAAGTTTGAAACTTCAAGTATTTAGTGCAGAGTGATCTTCCTTCTATAGGTTTCAATGAACTCTTCCACAAAATAAATAAATAAATAACATTTTAAGGCATTTATAGTACATTTGATAGAGTGATTTTAATAAAATTCTTCTACATGATTATGTCCTACAAGACTCCATGCATCAATTTAAGGCATTTGCGGTTGGCATCAGCTGATGTGCAATCTGTTGAAAACACCCTGTTCATAACCAGCTTAAGAACAAACCCCTCCATCACCAGACAGTGGTCACCCACCAAAGCTATCAGCTCCAGCTCTTGTCTCCAAAGTTCAGACTGACAGCCACTAAAAAACTGAGATGTGGCTTAGGTGTAGATTAAACATTAGGAAAAACTTTTTTACTTACTTGAGGAGCTGGCACGGGTTACACAGAGAAGTTGGGGATGCCCTGTCCCTGGAGATGTTTAACGTGGAGGTTGGATGGAGTTCTGAGCAGCCTGGTCTAGAGGAAGGTGTGTCTGTTGTGGGGTTGGAACTGAATGGTTTAATGTCCCTTTCGACTCAAACCATTCTATAAATTCTCTTTCAAAACTGCAATACGGTTTGTTTGCAGATTTTTTTTAGCTCAGATGTATTTGCATATACAAAATTACAGAAGTCTGAAGTTCATTATTTCATTGGAGAGAATTGCAATCTTTCTTCTTGCCTCCCGCTGAGATTATTCATGTTTGCACTAATGCCAGATCTTAAAACCTTAAATGCAAGAAAATTCCAAGTTACAATATTAAATATCATCTAATATCTAGTGTCATCCTTGTTTATTCTTTCTAGCATCAGGGAGCTCTACAGAACCTTAACATCTAATAGGTAATGAAAAAGACTATATTAAAAATGTTGATCTCAAATTATGTTGAACACAACTTCACCAGAATTTCCAGGCTTCCAGAACTGACATTTTCATGCAGATGCTACAAGTGGGAAGTATGTGGTCATAGTTTCAGCTTTGCAGAAAGAACTAATTGACTTTCATGCAGGATTTTGATTATTGCAAAATCTGAGTTTGTTCCACTTGGTAACAAAAGCCAAACATTTCATAATTGTCTGTGAAAGGCAGTGAAGCTTCAGTATGGGAGCAGGTGAGCCCCTGGGATTCCACAAAGGAGTGTGAGTACTGTCTTCTTTAGACAGGTTAAGAAAGGGATTGCTCCTGATGGATCTGTTCCAGAGCTGCCCCCTTCAGCTGCTGGAGCCCCAGACCCATGGCAGCTCCCCAGCTTCCAGGCTTCTGAGAGAACCAGGGGAAAATACCAATGTCCCAGAAACAGATTTCAATCTGCCTGAGCAGCAAATTCCTAACAGAAAATGTTTTGTCAAAACTTTTCTAGTCTCTTCTATTTGTAATTAAAGGCTTATGTTTTACTATAAAAGAGATTATTGTGCTGTGTGTAGCATGTTTCTGGGTACCAGTGCTGTTGTTTGGGTACTAGGGGTGGTAGGATGTTGGTGCTGATCCTCTCCATCCCAACTTTGAACCATAAAATACCAAAGAAATTTCCCCTTGCTTTAGAATTCCTTCCCATAGCTGAAATGAAGGTCAAAATTACTTATAACACCTTCGACACTGGCATAGGATTTTGAGAAGGAATCACATCATAAAAGGTATCAGTCTGTTGCAGGAGCAGTAATGGCCTGGACCAGGCCAGGCAGGTAGCACCTGAAACTTGGTCATGCAGAGGACTTTGTGTAATAAATGGCAAGAATTTCTCTCTTGTAGTGGTGAAGGAGAACTGCTCCAAAAATAATTAAATACATCTTTTGTGAAACCAATTCTCATACCTTTTCAAACTCCTTATGCCACTTTATTGTTACATGAGTGATAGTTATGAAAATCTGAATATGCTTTTCCTCCTCACAACTAGAAAATTGGCATGGCCCAATAAGATGGAGATGTAAAACATACAAGCCAGACTTGGCCTTTAGACCATACAGTTCCTTCCATGTTCTTTTAACCTGTGCATTGAACAGAGAAACAATAGAGTGTAAAGTACATGTATCTTTGAGATACCCAGCAAAATTTCTTATGGACTGCCTAATGGAATCCTTTACTTTTGTTTTCTGTTAAAAAATTAAAAATAATAAGATAAAAGTTTTAAAAATAGGAGATTACATTTTTTATCAAATAAATGTGGCTGTGAAAAGCATCTCCTACTCCTGAATTTTTTGTCTTTTTCCAGGAATACATTATTCATTTTTAGTTTGTGGACTTTTTTTTTTTTTCTGAATGGGAAGTCACATTTTTTTATAGAAACAAATTTTTAGTTCTTAGCTGTAATCCAGCTCATGTATGGTACTTGTAATATACGGTGTCTATAAGATGTATATTGGGAGCAAAACTGCAAGTCTCAAAAGAGGGAACACTAGAAGAAAGTACTTTGAAGGCACAATACATCTCAGTGCAGGATGCTGCAGGAGCTGCTCTCCCAAAATGCACATTGCATTAACTTTTTTGTCTATAGTTTACATACCATCCCTTGCTGAGCTGGCCAGTGGATGCAAGTTCACAATGGAAACACGTTTTAGCTTGTACTATAGATTTCTTAGTGTGGGACACTGATCAGAGTCTCAAGAGACTAAAACAGACTAAGAAAAATAGGGCCCCATTAACTTGCTTTAACATTACTACCCTGCTACTTGCTAAATTGCTAACATATGTAATTTGTTCGACCATGGTCGGAACTCAGCACTCCTCACAAGCACTTGGACCACATTTGTCACTTTCTAAGTATTAAGGAAGGGAGGTGTGAAGAGGCAACAGCAAGCAGCCAGGTGGTATTCTTCAGTTAAGGACCTAGATTTGATAGGGATGAAACTGTAGCGAAGACAAAGGTTTACTAGTTTAGATATTTCCCCTCGAGATACCCACATAGCAGCAGATTTATTTTCGTTTGTGAGCGTACTGTGTAATGTCTCCTATTCTTTCACGGTGAATAACAGTGTGCCCTATCCTAAACAGGTAACACTTAACTAGGTTCTTTTACCAAAGAATGTGCATTCACTCCCCTGTAGGACTGGGATTTAGCCTGTCAACCTGCCATGGAGATGTGTTCAAGATATTAAGAGAAAAGAAGTTGCACAATGTCGGGGAAAGGTGTGAACACTTTTCACAGAGTTCAGGCACTCATGTCCTAAGTAAACCCTTACTAGATGCCTAAGATGGATAAAAATAATATGGCTAACAACAATCCAGTGCCTCTTCTACGTCATGTCTAACCCTGCAAAGCACTAAGGTCTCCCTAGAGGTGGTGGAGGTGGTGGTGGGTTGAGGTTGGGCTTTGGGGGAAAGGTAGTAAATCCACCATTCACCCAAACTGGTAGCTTCACTACTTTATTACATCTTTCATGGCCAGGACTTCTTTTCAATGTGATAGTTATGCTGTTTTTCATGAACTTTCCTTTCCTCTGCTTGAGGTGAGCTGTAACCTCAAGAGTGACAGTCACCACAGGACTGGTGGTTGTGTCTAAAGCAGGATCATTACTGGACTACACTGCACTGTAGAAGTTCATGGTAAAGACCTACTGAGGAGGCATTTTGTGAAAGGCATTTTGCATCTCAGTGCAATCTTGATGAAGCTAAT